TAAAATCAATGTTATTTGCAACAGGAGACAGTTTCTTCTTTCCTCTAGTAGGCAGAAAGAATTTAGGGTAGGTTATTTTATTCCAGTTGGGAATTGAGCTAGGTCAGCTCTCACTGGCATCTTTAGTTAGATGTATTCTTCCTCTAGTTTCAAATGTCTCAAGGACAAGACTTGAGGTGACTTTGTATTAGGGYCTTCATTCTAGTGGGACTTTTCCTCCTAAGCATCTATTCCCATGTAAAAGTGGAATATTTCTGTGGGAGTTTTTTTGGCCCAGTTTCTTAGCCCATCATGATCCTTAAACATTCTGTCAATGTCCCACAAGGAAAACTGCCGTGCATCTGGAGTTCTAGAGTCCAGTTTGTCAAACCAGCCCACAATCAAGTATTCCACCAGTTTCTCTTTCCTACAGTAGAGTGACTATGCCTATGCCAAGATCAATCCTTAGCCTAGAACTAGACTTGACAAATGCTGCCACAGAAATAAACAGTTGGACATTTCATCTCATCTAGGAGGGTTCCTCCCTCTCAGGAGTTTTATTTGCCTCCTCACTTGTCCCATGCCATTTTTAAAATATAAGCATTTTTAAAAATTCTATACTTAAAAAAAAGCCTGTTGCAGTAGAAGTAATGCCTTTCTGCCATCTACTGTATCCTACTGGCAGCAGAACTTGTAAAAATTTGTAATGGCTATAGGAAAATCATCAAGCCTTATAGCGTGTACCAAATAGCTTGGCTCTTTTCAACCTATATTTATAGAATTATATTCCAATTCCTCAGCTCTTACCATGTCTACTAATGAATTCTTTCATTTTTCTGGCTTTATGATTACATGCTTGTTTTGTACCAGATTTTGGGATATTCTGTCTCTCTTTATCCATAATCACTAATCTCCAATGCATTCACAGGCTAGCCTAAAGTGATATATTACAAAGTATACATTTTTGAAGTACTGATTGTTCCTGAATTAATGAATTATCTACCACCCTTGTAGTATATATTATTTATTTTTAGTATGGCTTAGTTTCCATTATACAATACAGAATTTTTAACTATAATCATCATACTTATATTAGACCTCTAGACTTACTCATACTATAAACCTGCAACTTATTATTTCTTACCTTGTGATAGTATCCTGCTAAATACAACTTTATACCCTTTGGCCAACACTTCCCCATTTTTCCTCACCTCCCTGCCCCTCATAACCATAGTCTTATTCTCTGTTTCTATGTGTTCAATAGTTTCAGATTTTACATATGTTGGAAGACGCAATAGATTTTTCTATTCTGAACATTTCACTTAGAAAAATGTTCTCATAAATGACAGGATTTCCWTTGTTATGATTGAATAATATTCCATTTTTATACACACACGAACACACACACAAAGTTGAATATCCTTAATCCAAAAATATGAAATGCTCCACAACTTAATTCAAACCTTTTTAAATGCCAACATGAGGCCACAAATGGAAAATYCCACATCTGACCTCATGTAACAGGTCAGGCAAAACACAGGCATGCTAAAAATATTGTATAAGACTATTTTTGGACTATGTGCAKTTTATGTTTAGACTTGAGTCCTTTTCCCAAGATGTCTCATTTTTAAAAAACTGAATACTTCTGGTCCCAAGCATTTCAGACAAGGAATGGCTCCCTCCCCCTTCCCYCACACAATATGTACATACCCACCCTCAATTTCTTCATCCATTTATCTTTGTGTGGACACTCATGTTGTTTCCATGTTGGTGATTGTGAATAATGCTATAATGAATTTGGGAGTACAGGTAATTTCTTCAAGATACTTAATTCATTTTTTTTTTCAGGTATACATCCAGAGGAAGGATTTCTGGACCACACAAGGTTCTATTTTTAAAAAAATTTTGAGGAACATAAAACTGTTTTCCATATGGATATACCAATTTATATTCCTACCATAATGAATACAAGTGTTTTCATCTATATCCTTGTTAACATTTGTTATCTTTTTTGTAAAACCCATCCTAACAGGTATGAGGTGATGTCTCTGTTTTTGATTTATATTTCCTGATATTAGTTGAATAGATCTTCATGTACCTTCATGTATGTATTCTTTGGAAAAATGTCTATCCAGATCCTTTGGGCATTTTTTAAAAATCAGGGTTTTTTTGCTTTTCATTATGTGATTTCCTTATACATTTTGGATCATATTTTCTCCCAAGGATGCTGTACAAAGATTTTTAGTTAAATGTAATCCCATTTGTCTATTTTTGCTTTTGTTGCTTGTGATTTGGGTGTCATGTCTCAAAGATCATTTCCAAAATCAGTGTCAATGAACTCTGTTTCCTTCTTCGAGTTTTACACTTTCAGTTCTTACATTTAAGTCTTTAATACACTTTCAGTTTATTTTTGTGTATGGCATAAGATAAAGGTACAATTTCATTCTTTTATATAGATATCCATTTTTCCCAAAATAATTTATTAAAGAGAATATTCTTCCTGCATTATGTATCTGTGGTACTCTTGCTGAAGGTTAGTTGACTGTTAATGCTTAGGTATATTTCCAGACTCTTGATTCTGTTCCATTGGTTTATGAGTCTGTTCTTTTGCCAGTATCATACTATTTTGATCACTCTGACATATAATTTGAAATCAGGAAGTGTAATGTGTCCAGCTCTGTTTCTTCAAATGATTACTTTGGCTAATCAGAATCTTTCATAGTTTCACAGGAATTTTAGAATGCTTTTTTCCTATTTTTGTGAAAATACCAATGGGATTTTTATAGGGATTGCATAGAATCTATAGATCGCTTTGGGTAGTACTGACATTTTAGCAATATTAATTTTTCCAATCTCTGAATGGGTTCCATTTATTTGTATCTTCTTTTAATTTCTTTCACCAAATGTGTTATAATTTTCAGTATATAAATCATTTATCTCCTTGATTATCAATTATAAAATTTCTTAATGTCTACACTCATTCTGCAATCCAGATATTTTTATTTCCTACAATGGCTACAGAGCAGGGTAATCCCTATGTCTATTTATTATTATGGTTTATTTTCATGTACATCTTAATATGAATAAATTTCTAAGCTGAGGATGCTAGGAGAGCAGATACATTTTGTTTCACAAACTCCATGTCCAGAATGTAAGTGTTGTTCTGCTTACCAATTATAGGGTTGCTTATTTCTTTATCATATCCAATTTCTGTCTTTCCTCTTTGATTTTACAGATACCTGCCCTTAAGTAGGAATCTAAAAAAAAAACCTTCAGTACAATTACATAGCATTATTAAGTACAGCCTTGGCCCTTGCATTTCTGTTGTCTCATGCCTGAAAACCTGGAAGTTCAAAATGTCACCTTTCCTGAATAGAAAAGTTCAGGAGCTAGAAGGCCAGCCTTGAATTATGAAAATGAAAATATGAGAATCCATAGAGAACAGTTTATGGAAAGCCAGATCTAGGGTTGGACAGAGAAGCAGAAAGAGAGAGGAAGAGAGAGAGGGAGGGAGGGAGACAGTTTTGTGTATATATCCAAACCATAAGGGGATATCAATATTATTCATATTTTTTGTAGATCTTACATAGAGAAAAATCTTACTATGTTTTTATAAAAGAACAAGTAAAATAATCTTCATCAATTATCTTTTATGTCATATTTTGTGCTGTACATAGTGTCCCACACATATAAAAATCTGTATCTCAGCTAATACTATATGTTATGTTTGATTGTAATATACCATATTCACAGTCTCCACAATTTGTCCCTTGGGTAGCATYTTATGTACTCACAGCTTTAAATATCAGAAAGAATATTGTTCCTGACTTGCCTAATGGTATATGCTTACAGACCACAGTAAATGGATACCATGTACTTTACTTACCCAGTGAACTGGTAAATGTGAAATTTACAGAAAAAAATATGTATTTAGTTATCACCTGATTATTACCTTGGTTGTAGATGGCATCACTTTTACAAAAAGGTTTCATATTAGGACATGCCCATTCAGCAATTTCACATAACTAATGGAAAGAGTGTAAGCCTATATATGCAATTCCTTTATTTATAAAGGAAAATATAGAAATAATATCTACTATCAAGTTAGTCTATTAATTTAAAAAAAAATTTAGTTGTAGATGGATACAATATCTTTGTTTCATTTATTTATTTTTTATGTGGTGCTGAGGATTGAACCTAGTGCCTCACGCATGAGAGGCAAGCACTCAACCACTGAGCTACATCCCCAGCCCTAGATTAAGACCCACCAACYCCTCAAAAGTAATATAGTATTTTAAAATCAAATACATTTTTGGAAAGAAAAATTGGTCATACATTGCCCAGTACTTTTTCAAGTTAGTTATTCGGAGCAGGAGGTATTCTTGTACTTCTTTCATGCTATAAGTCTTAGAGCTACAGGTCCCCTATGTTGATAATCCAGCATTGTCTGTCAGGGGACAGTTGGTTTTCCTCTAAGGTTTGGTATCAGGAAACATTTGCTTATAGATGGAAGCTTTATCATCCATCCTGATCTATTTCAGTATAAAAATAATATTTTGGTTCCTTATCTATTAATTCTTTTGCTTTAAAAGTTTGTTCAGAAACTGAATGCAGAAGAGGACTGCTACTTATTTGATCTTTTCAAAGACTCCAACATTCTTGATAGTTTCAACTAATTCTAGGTTGGGAAGAAAGGTACAATGCTAATTAAGATGATATAAATGACAGATATGACATAATCCTTGMTAAATGGTATTCTTTTTTATGTTTTAAGATAGGGAAAACTAATTAAGAGCTGAATCTGGAGAAGAACCCAAGCCTCTTAACTCTCCATTAGGTAAATGGTGTTTGGGTTTTTGTTTGTTTGCTTTTTGGCTATATGCTATTTTCACCAGAGAAAAACTTCTTTCTTAAACCATGGGTGGATACATTTGACAAAACACCAAATTTAATCTGATATTAGATATCAAAGCTGGAAGTTTTAGTTGGTTGGCTCATTCATTTTTGAAATAGCAAGTTACCTTTATAGGTTGGGACAGTGTCCAACTTCCCTTTTTTAACTTGTTGTCTTTCCAAAGGCCGGACTATTACCACAGGCTGCACTTTATAAGAATTAAAATCTCGTTTGTAGGTAGTACCAAGATCAATCTTCCCTTGTTTTGGTTTATATTCTTCTGGTATGTGGCGAGGCTGTTTGACTATTTCATAAGGACGATAATCTGATCTGAAATATATAAATTTGAAACATAGCCTCACAAGACCTTTTATTTTGATGATCTCAGTATTGATAATTTCAGTTGTCTCTTGCCTAAAAAGTCTAAAATATTAAAATGGTAATATTTGATAAACAATTTGAATGAATTAATTAAATTCCTTTAAAAGGTCCTGTTAGGAGACTCCATATCTTAAGAGCAATATGTTGAAAATCCTAGTTTTCAAAATATCAAAACAAGAGATGCTCAATTAATTTGATCTTAAATAAATTAAATCCTCAAATAATTGAAGGTGAAAGGTTTAAACTTGCAAAATTTATATATATATCTCCCTGTATCCACTGTCAAAATCCTTCAAAATCCTTATTGATCCTACATAAAGACTCCAGTAAACTATTTGGGCATACTTTCTTCTTATTTAAGTCAGGTTGTCCTGCTCAGTTTTAGATAATAAGTAACTCTTGCCTTTAGACATAAGTCACATTCACAGTGTCAGTATGAGTCCTACTCATATTTGGATCTCTCAGAATCATTTTCCATGGATGGAAGCCAGATGGTAATCCAGTCCCTCTAGGCATTACATACCGTTACATGACAGAAGACTACTGAGGTAGTCTGATGAAATGGAGAATACCACAGATTCAGACTGCCTGGATCTAAATCTTTGCTCTGTCAGTCATTCACTAACTACCTGTACAACCCTGAATAATACAGTTAATGTGTTTTGCTCCTTCCTTCATATATAAAAATGGGACAATAATATCATCTACCTTGTAGTGTTTTAAGGATACACAAATACTTAGGAGAGTACTTGATAAGTAGTAAGGGCAATGTTATCTACTGTTAACTATTATTCTAAGCTTTTACAGACTGCTTTTTTTTCTTCTGGATTCTGAATCCACAGACTCAAAAATAACAAAAACAAACAAACAAAAAAAAAACCCCAAATCAAACCAAACCAAAACAAATAAAAAACTCACTGAGTCCCTTTCTCTTATTTCCAATATAACCTCTTTCTCAAATACTTCAGCCTACCTCTTCATTCCACTTCAGTCTAGCACTGTCACCAACCTAATACAGTTCTAAGGTTCAGAATGACTTCTATGTGACTAAGTCCATCTGACATCTTTAGAACTCATCTTACTTGACCCCCATCACAGTAATTGACATTACTGTTCACATACTGTATTTCCAGGAAATTATCCCTTCCTGCCTTCCTGATTTATTTCTTCTCCATCTCCTATATAGCTTCTTCCACCTCTACTCAACCATTAAATAAATGTTGGAGTTCTTGAAGGCTTGGACTACACACACTCCTACTCTCACCTAACATTCACTCCCACAGCTTTGATTACTACCTCTATAGCAATGACTCTCAAATTTACTTCAACTTAGTACTCTTCTCTTAGCTCCACACCAGCATGGATACTCAATGGCACATCAAAACTCAATATGCTCCAAATCAAATTATTTCTCCCCAACAAATCTGGTCTTTGTAATTTTTCCTTATGTTAGTGAACAGCATCAACATCTCTTCAGCTCATAGTCAAAAACTTAGGACTCACACTTTATACACAGTCATTAATCAACTCCTGTCAATTATGCCTCCTAAATATCTTTAAATCTAACCATTCTTCTCCATCTTTATCACCAAACCATAATAGTCAAAGCTTTCATAATAGCCCAGTCAAATAACTCCAATAGCTTCCTGAACTCATTTACCTGCATCCACTTTAGGCCATTCGCCAATCTTGTCTCCACTTTGTACACAAAGTAACTCKTTCACATGTGAATTGGATCATTCTTGCTCCCATGGCCCTAGCTCCCTCCTTAGGTCTCTTATCTATCTACTCACCACTGTACTTCTCCCCACAACCCCCAACAAGAAAACAGAAAGGAAATCTTCACTGGTACTTATTGCTCTAAGAATATAGATAAAATAGAACAAGGCCCAAAGGCCCTGCCTRTCATTCCTCACTACACCCTCCTTTTGCTTTCTCTGCTCTAGCTCTCTTTCTCTGAAATTTCCCACTTTCTATGTTCCTTCCTACTGAATGCTTCTTTTTGCCTGGAATACACTTCTTTCCTCTCTCAATACAGTTCACTGTTTAACATGCTTCAGGTTTTAGCTCATTTTTCTTATATCTCCCTGATAAATTYGAATATCTTATTCTAGCTGTTAAGGTGCCTATCCTTCATAGRTTTTATCACTGTTGTGCTTTGATATTTATTTCAAGTGATGTTTTGATTGGCTTCTCCACTAGAATGGAACATCTGTGAGAAATGAAATCCTGTTTTTGTTCACACTGTATCCCAGATGCATAAAACAACGCTCGAGGCTTAACAAATGTTTGCTATATATTTATTTAATGGATGAATAGTAATTGAAATCAGGTAACTCTTCTCAGATATCTGAATTGTTCTTTACTCTGCTCAAATGCCAGGTATTGGGAATAGGCTAAAATACAATCAGGAAGTTAGTGAAAGGGAAAATCATAGAGAGAAGAGTAGGGAGAAAGCTTAGTTTATAAGTCTTAGAAGTTTCTTGGACTACATTGTTTAGTGTTAAAAATTATACCTCCACATCCAAAGCACTTTTCTGTGGAGAAGCAGTAACAGTAAATGCAKTCTATTCATCTGATATATCCTGAAACATATGACAGGTCTAAAATCCTACTTCTACAGGGCAAACTTTCCTGTCAACTCTGGTAGTCATCTAACTATGCTACAATTATAATGCCATAAAGGATCAAAGTATTCTATAAGTTCAGATATCTGCTCTTTACACAGTTTCTTTGAAACGTATACAATGGCTTCTTATTCTACAAATAAATCAGTTTTCTACTTCCTATTCAATGTATTCATCTTGAGGAGTCAAGCAAAAGCTCCAAGCCATTATGCTATGATTCTTGTCTTACAAAGTGGAGAGATGATGACTTAAGAAATGTAATTTTTAATTGTAWTGGCATATTTGGACTTTTGAGTTTGGGGATATGGAATGTTTCTTATTTACCTTTTTAAAGTTTTCTTTCTTCCTTCTCTTAGGGTGACCTGAATAAGTCAACTGAGAAAAATTAAATTTGTTGTGGTGCTTTTAAAACCCTAAGTTATAAAAAAAAAAAAAATTGACATGAGTTCCTTAAAAGCAGGAACCTGAAATTACTGATATTTTTATTCTTGATGCCTAAGATAGTGCTTTGAATATAGTGTACATCAAATAAAATAATGAAAACAAAGAACTAACCCACTAAACTGACAAAATACAAATAGATACAAAGATACAAATAAATAAAAATGAAAAATTTAGGATGAGTGGGATTTTTTTTTTTCATCATTCACGGAACCTACCATGTGCCAGTAAGTGTTGTGCTAGAATTTTGGAAATAGGATGATAAGAAAACAATGGACATAATTCCTACTGTCATGAAATACTAAAACTAATGTAATGAATGTACCTTGAAAACTTACACTGAGGAATTTTATGTAGACTGAAAACTAGGTGAGGTGTAGAGAAGATTTTTCCAAGAGATAATCACGTTGAGATTTACAGACTGAATGGGTATTAAACTAGGGAAGGAGAGGGGGAAAATTCCAGGTAGAAAAAAATTAATATCTTAGAAGGATTCGAGGCATGGGAAACCTGGCATTTTATAGGAAACAACAACAACAAAAAGGCCTACAGGATGGAAACATAAAATAAACTAGAGAAGCAAGTAGGGAGTAAACSATGCAGGAATTGTGGTAGGAATTTTGGTCTATGTGAAATATAATGGGAAAGTTTTAATGTATTTTCATCAGGGACTTAACAGGATTGGATTTTCACTTTTAAAAGATCATCCTGGCCAACTGAAATATTGAAAAGAAATCAGAAATGCAAAAACTAGAGAAGATACAGGCCTAAACACTGGGAAGCTACTGTTATCCTCTGGGTGGCAGTGACAGTGAAAAGTAAAAAAGATCATGATATATTTTAGGGAATAAAAACAAATCAATAGAACGTTTTATTTCCCTCTTTTCTTCTCAAATTTTTAACCTAACTTAAAGCTCATCTTTCTATTTTTCTTGTGACTTAACTAGTTCTTGCTTATTGGATTTGTTTAACTTAAATCAACTAACTATATTTAATAGCTAGAAAACCTTGTTCCCATCAGAAGAGTTGAGAAAAATATAAGTAAAGCAAGTAATTGTGCAATATTTACTTAAATGTAGTTATTCCTTCCATTTTACCACGGCATGCTCGAAATTCTTGCTTAGGTTTAAGACTCTGTGGTGGAAGAACATTGCCATACATGGGATACTTTTCCAAGTATTCAGTTGTGGGGCAAGACAAGCCAAAATTTTCATAAATCCTTGTGGTTCCATGTGGACAGTGATGTCGCCTGTGCAAACAAACAAACTGAAAGATTATTTTGCCTTAAAAAAAACACCTTGTGTGATTATTAATCAGAGACAGACCTCCAATGACTCAGAACACATAAACTTTAGAGCAGCTTTCCTAGACAACCTGTTCCTTCTGCAATGATGTTTAAAAAAAGAAGTATCCTTACATGGTAGAAATATTGTCTTGTTAATTTACAGACCTGAGAAGCCAACAAGTAATTTCCTAGACCCCATGCAGACCAGTTGCATATATAATTTAGGTTTCACCTATTTCATGTACTCACATGAGACTCTGATTTAGAACAGAGCTACATAAGGAGAAAAGCAGGGCACCACATTCATTTTGCTTGTATGGATTGAGGTAGAGACAAAGAGAGTTTAGGGTCAGTTAGGCAGTCCCCTGATTTTCAAGGTGATTCCCTGACTTGGCAGCTTTCTGACTTTGGTAGAGTTGAGTGGTTCTGGAGGCTACAGCTCTGTCACAGTGTTCTGATTGTGGCAGAGTTAGCAGCTCCCTTCATGGTCCAGGGCTACAATGAGATTTTCAGGTACTTTTCTTCCTTGGAATCTTGGTTTAAAAATGGTTTCAGTTCTTTCAAGTGAATTATATATACTCCTTATATACAGTTAATTTTTGCCTACACTAATCAGAATAGATTATATTCCCCATAACTAAGAGCCCTAAATAACACATTAATGCTTTAAAAAAAATGGACATTTTGGTCAACCACAAATTACATACACAGTGATAGTCCAATGAGATTATGTTGTCTGGTAACATCATAGCCATCTTAGTTTGTGTAAGTATATTCTGTGATGTTCACACAATGGTTAAATCTCCTAATGATCAATTTCTCAGAATGTATGCTCATCCTTAGGTGAYATATGAACAGATATCATATAAACTAATAGGATAGAGTTGTTGAAAAATATGAGATTGACCTCTATGAATGACCGTTGGAACATGGTGAGACAGGAAATAGTTAAAGGGGAGGGCGTTGTGGTAGAATAGCATGCAATGAATACTCTCTTTTTCAAAAATAAATAAAAACTATGTATGAAAAACAAGTGTTAAAAAATATACAGGGTTTTCACTATAATTTTTCAGTGCACAATTAGTAAAAGAGATAAAACCTTTTAAAAATAAAACTAATAAAACCGCAAACAAATAAAAAAGTAAAACCACATTATTCTGAAATAAGGTCAGTTTCTCAAGTCTGGTATCATTTGGAGACTCCAGGCCATGGGGGAAGGTTGTAAAGCTGAACCTAAAGAAAATGTATATACCCTGCAGATAAATCATGGTGGACGGCATGAAGAATTATAGCGTAAAGAAAACAGGTGGTGTCACAGGATGTCCAAGAAACTCTGAAGTCAGAAGGATCAAGAGATTAGGGAATATCAACTGAACATGGTGGTTGTTTTAAAGTGCTGAAGTGATTTAGTGTCACACATAGTCAAGACTCTTAGAAGTAGAAGCAGGGTACACAGGTCATGCAAGCATAGAGGTGCTGTTATAGCTGAATGAGTTAAAGAACCAAGTCGAATCTTTGGAATTTRTCATGTTTTTAGTTTTATTTTCCATGAAAAAATACATTCACATTTAAACAAACAGTGTTGAAGAATTATGAASAAAAAGCCTTTAATCCTGATATTTCCAAAATTTTTCTTATTTCTGCTTTTTAAAGTTTTATAGGAGGCTATAATCTGTAACTTTTTATGAACTTTGCTATATTAGCTTAAATTACTAACTTTTCAAATTTTTACAAGATTGAAGATAAAGATTTAGTTGATTTATACGATTCTCATTCACTTCCTACATACATGGTCATTCATTCATTCAGCAAATATATAATGAGTAAAAATCTCAGTATTGAGGACAGTATTAAGATAGAAAATTCTGTGTCTTACTTGAATTTACACCCTAGATAGGGGTAAAGAGAAAAAATAGGTAGAATATCCTAAGTACAATGGGAAAAGAAAAGAAGCAGGGAAGTGGGATATAGTGTGGAGGTGGGGCAAAGTATGACATTTGAACAAAGGTTTCAATGACAGACTCTTTCATTATATTTGAGCAAAGATCTGAATGAGCCACACTTTTTTTCTAGCATCCCCCATTTCTGATTTCTAACATAAGAAAACCCCACCATAGTTTAACAAGCATAAAAACATCATGTACGCATTGTATAAAGAAATACATTAGAGATGGATGGTTGCTTCAACTTTTTAAAGAATAAAATAGATGTGTGAAACTATTAATTTTCATAGTGTAAGTGAAAAAAATAAAAGACTCAACCAGCAAATGGACATTTAGCAGAAAYAGGTCAAAGCTTCCCTGAAAAGGTCTTCTGATGATCTTAATCTTCTAGAGAAAGGAAATTTATTGAAATATTAACAAACTTGTTTTCTTGTTCTTTTGCCTCTTTTATATCAAGCAGGTAGTCATGACCTTTATATAATCCCTTGTTGAAGAGATTTCAGGAGGAGGGAGACGTTGCTTCAAGTCAACAAATTTTCCTGCTTTTTGCAAAAGAAACAGTTCATGGAAGAGATGAAATAATGCATTTCTAATGGGAGGTGAAAGATAGTTGTCTTTTAGGTCACAAGAGGAAAAGGATGGTCTTGAAACAACCACCACAAAAATAAATAAAAGAAGGAAGAGTAAAAATCTCCCTTCTGCTGCCAAACCGAGTGAGAAGTTAAAAGGCAGAGGAAAAGGGGCTCTGAGAAGGGTGAGGAATCTTTGCCAGTGTCAGTGTCTCAGGAAGTGGCCAGATTTCAAAAGAGCTGGTTGAGTGGAGCCTTGTAACTACAAGTTTGTAGCTTCCTCAAGGATTCTTACACACGAGAGTATAAGAATAAAACTAGCAGAGATCCTGCTCTTGAAAGAAATATGTGAGCTTCATTAAAGGACTTTTCACTGGGAGATCATACCAATGTTCAAAGGTCAGAAGGAACTCTTTTATTGGCAATGCTTTAGTTCCTTGGATCATTATACTGCTTGAAGAAAATGTAGCCCCCGACACAATGAAGATTGAATTTTCTGACATAAGATGGGAAGAAACTTAGGTTGATTATAAAAAAAAACAAAACAAAAAAACAAAACAAAACAAAAAAACTTCTTGCACACGAGAGTTTGAAGATTCCTATCTCAAAAGTCATATATTAACTAATCTATATGTAATTATAAAGTGTTTATTATGAAAATAGTAGACAAACTGCTTTCCATCAACATGCAAGTGTTTTCCCTTTTAAGGGTATTAAGAAATAGCAAGGAATTGACATATATTTATCTAGCAAATAATGATCTCATCCCTGGGTCAACAGTGAAGCTGGGGAAGGAAGGAAAAGAGTGTGTTTATAGGTAGTGGAAGGTTGTTAGGCAGGACTCACAGACGAGTTCTGGGTTTCGGGATGGGGACTACAGCCTTACCTGTCAGGCAGATTCCAAATGAGGGCCACCTGGACAGAACGGGAATATGGGAATACAGTTTGGGTGGGAGGATGGGAAGCTGGAGATGAAAGAATGTGTAATACTGGTTGCCAACTAATGGCTTTGACCACTGTTCTTTTAAATTAAATAAAATAATAATAATAATAATAATAATAATAATAATAATAATTATTATTATTATTATTATTATTTATTATTCTGGTGGGGCGTGCACTCACCAGTCGGATCCACCGCTTACCAGCCTTACAACCGCCGTGGCTTCACTTACTGTTTACCTGGCCCAGATGCTATTCCAATTTGCATAAAGAAATTGGAAACTAGTTTCTAGCTACAAAGAAGAAACATTGTACCCCAACCCAGCCAAAGAGGGGGCGTCGCTGCGCCGCCGCTCCCGGTGTGCTGGGGTCAAGGTGGGGTGCCCGAAGGGCCACTGGGTCCCCTAAGGTCTCCCGGCCCGCCGCTATGCCAGCCATTCTTACCCGCAGGTACAGATCTGACACAAACACTTGCTCCTCATGTTTTCGGCTCACTGCTAGATCCGCAGCGCTCAGCACCCGCAGATTTTTCACCTCTATCTACAGCGCCTACCGTCGTCTAGGCGACCGCGGGATCCCGGCAACTGACGCGGCGCCGGCTTCCGGTGGCGCCGAGACGCCGGCGGGTCAGAGGTCGCGCGTCAGCCAGCCCCGCCCCCAGAACGCAGGCCTGCGGAGCCCTAGCTGAAGCGTGCGGTGTTGGGCAGAGCGCCGGAGCTGGTGAGGAGGCCCCCCCGCGTGCTGGCGGTATGGAGGGACTTGGGCCGAGGGGGTGGCGGGGGGAGACCGGTCGTGAGCCGACGCGGCGTGCATCCAGCGGTAGCTCCCCTCCGGGGCCAGAGGCTTTTCCGTGTGGACTTGGGGTCCTTAAAATTTTCAACATCAAGCCCTACGAATCTGGGGCCCCCGCGAAGATGAAGGGCAGGTGGAGTTGAGATTTTTCATTTGAAAAGGGAAGAAAGATCGGCAGTGCACCTGTTTGGTTCATAAGCACGTGACTCAAAACTTTTTTCAGGCYCTGTAGGCAGTATAAAGCCGAGTGTTTTACCGTGGATAAGAGGGAGCTAGAATATTAGAACCAGGAATTTAGGGGAAGGGAGAGACGTCAACATCTTCTCTTCCTGCTGCATTTGACCCTTCTTAGGGTTGTCGTTGGCCTGGAAGAGTTGGTCAGAGTACGAATCCATGGGTGGGGCTACTGGTGTCACTGCACCCAGCACCCAGGAGCTCCTTGATTCAACATAGCCTTCCCGTCCAGAATAAGTACCCCATAAGTACAGTTTATTGACTTTCAAGCTGGTCTTAGGCCTGGATTGGTATGTCTCATCTATAAACGTTCATTTGAGTCTTGGTTTAAGGGATCTCAGAAATCTTTCTCAGCTTCCAGCACTTAAATTTCTTTTTCCCTTGCCTGGACCTTTAGTCCTTGTGTCATTTATAATATATCTTTTATTTTTAATCACAGGAAGTGAGCAACCATGGTGCTCAATAGTTTGGATAAGATGATTCAACTTCAGAAAAACACTGCTAACATCAGGAATATATGTGTTTTGGCTCATGTTGACCATGGTAAGAACCTTTTTTAAATGGCTAGTTTTCATTAATAGACAAGGCATGTCTCAGTAAATTGAACCTGTGGGCAGTCAAAGAAGTAGGTCTTACTCCTTTTAAAAGTTTTTTTTTTTTTTGTGATGTCAAGAACGCATGCTGTAAAACATATGAACATGGTTAACTATTTATTAGCATTTTTCTATATAGTATGTCACCTTGTTCCTAAATCAGAACTTCAGTTTTTGTTTAAATATGAAAAACTTTTGAAATGACTTTGTTTGTAAAATAGCTGTAATCTTGATATTGTGTCCTTAGAGCCTTTGTTATGTGATCCTATTTAATTCATCAAATGTTTATTGAACATCTGCTAAGTTCAAGGAATTTTGGTAGGTATATCAGAACACAGACATTTATGAGTGGGACACCTGTCCCATATCCTATTGAGGAAGCTTTAGGAATGAAGCAGGCAATATGAGAAAAAGTAGACTGTGACCACTGAGAAAACTAGAGGATTGGGAAGCTAGAGGTGGGTTAACCCACTATGTCCCAGAATCCCACTTATAGGACAAAATTTTTATAGGTGTCCTATATATGGGATGCTGGGACATAGTGAGTTAAGAAAAGGTTTCACAGCATAATTAATATCAGAGATGATCTTTGAAGGCGGTCTGAAGATGACATATGGAGACAAACATTTCAAGTGGCAGTGTGTCAGCCTGGGAAGAAGAAAATACATGTGACTGAAGCCCAGGACACTATAAATGCAAGAATAGCTAAGCATGATACATGTGATTTACATAGACATTGCTGTAATACCATAGCGCTGCTTCRTGCTAATCCTGCTATTGGTTTCAGACCCCTTCTGAGTTCTGGTTGCTGAGGCAAAATGATTGGAAAGGGCATGTGAAATAAAACTTATATACCATCATAGAGATGAAGGGGCAGGCTGGATCCTACGTCATAGGACTCTTCATAGCCACTGGGCTACATGTAAGTTAGGGGTTATGTGCTTCAGCTCTGGAGTTAGACATCCTGAATTTATTTTCAACTTCATTTTTAAGTTTCTTTGCTTTCTTGATTTTCAGTATGCAGCATATGTATACCAGATGAAAATCATAGCTATCTTATAGGGATTAAATGTGATGATAATGAGAATCCCTTGGCAGGAAGTTAAATACTTCATTATGAAAATGATCATTAACATTTTTTATGAGGACATGGGAGCCATTAGCAGAAAAAAAAAATAAAACTAAGTTTGATATAGTCAAATAGTAGATTAGATTAAACTGGTAGAGTGCTTATGATTGATTGAAAGGCAGAAAAGAGGTTAGGTGGTTATAGATCACCTTATAGGTGAAGCCAACTGAGAATGAGTTTTACATACAAATCCAATGATTTACCCTGCTGTYCCCAGAGCTTTTGTAATTATACGACCCACATTTTGAGGCCACAAAGTCTGATAAGTTGTTTATCTTTGTGAATTAAATCATGTGAAAAGTCAGTGGTGTGCATGTTTGCAGAGCAATTTATTTTAAATTTCTTCTTTAAAATTTTTAAATGGGTACTATCTTAGAAAACTTTTAATTCATATTCATTCAACTATTTATTGAGTCTTTTTTTAAAAATATTGTTTTAGTTACAGATGAACACAATACCTTTATTTTATTTATTTATTTTTATGTGATGGTGCTGAGGATCTAACCCAGTGCCTCACACTACCACTGAGCCACCACCCCCCCCAACCCTTGTATGTCTTTCATATGCCAAGCATTACTCTGGTCCTAGAGTTACAGTCATAAATAAAGCAAAGTCCCTGCTTTCTTGGAACATGGAAAGAGCATGATTTTCATGCCTAGAATGAATTCCACTTTATTGGGTAGCAGGAAAGTGATGCTCTAGTGTTATATGCTAACCCGTAACCTTCACATGGCAAATAGATAACATATTATTAAAAATCTTCAGTATTCCTACTGATTGGTCTCTGGTTTGAATTATTATATGGAATTCATAGTTTTGTTGAAGTTCATGGAGTGTAATAAGGACTTGTCTTGAAGAGAAAATCTTTTCCTTTTGTTAGACCAACCCATCTGTAGTAATTATTATATGCTTCTGGAATTCTTTAAACAAAGTTACTTATTTATATCCCTTGAAATTTTGTAAACTTTAATGGTAGTCTGTTTGATAAAGGTAACTATAATTATATACTTAAGTATACAAAGAAGTTTTTTTATTATAAAGTAAATTCTAGGTTTATATTTGGATACTGTTTATATATGTTACAGTGTAGATGATTATCTTCCATAGCTTATATTGCAATAGTAATAGATATGGGTAAATTTCCTTAGTAAATAAGTATTAACAACTAACACATACCAGTTAGGGCTTGCATGGGGAAACGTGGCAAAAGACTATTGTTCTTGATGATATTGTTAATGATATTTTAATATTACATTTCAATGATATATTGATGATATTCTGTTGTTTCTTGATGGTATATTACCTGATATTATACCTTTCAGAGACGTTGAACATGATTTTTGTCTTTATCATTCTGTACTTTCAGGGGCTTCAGTTTATAAGCATGATTAGCTATTGTGAATACGGGATGACTGATATAATAATTGTGATTAACCTGACCAAATTCATATAGGACAGATTTTAGTAGCTATAAAATTTGTCAATTATGTTCTCTTTTGGATTGGCATAGTGATTACACCACTATGAAGTACTAGCCTCTATGTCTTTCCAGATGATATTCTGTTTAGAAGTCTATAAAATTCTTAAAATATATCTTTTGTCTTATGTCATCTGGCATAGGTAAATAAAAGATCCTTGCTAAACTAATTCTTATGATCAGACATTAAATCTGTGAGTAAGTCTATCCTCCAATCCCCTCTAAAGACTACATAGATTTTAATTTATGTTATTTTAACAGGAAAAACTACTCTTGCTGATTGTCTWATATCTAGTAATGGGATCATCTCCAGCCGTCTGGCAGGCAAGGTATTTGTTATGTTTAATAAACATTTGTCACATTTCAGTGAGTGTACAATATTATAAGCTGTTTGGAGTGTTCTCCAGTGATCTAAAAGAGTATAAAACATAATCCTGCATCTCAGAATCTATTATGCAAGATAAAATAGATGTTGAGAAAAATAGTTATTTTTATATTGCTTTGTATTACTTTATATAGTACAAATTATAAGGAGTTTTTGTATTAAGTCAAATAATATACAATTGTGAGAGATTTCACAAAGAAGTTCTTCACTGGTGAATGAATTAGGTGGTTTGAAAGGCACAAAAACCATTAAGTGGTGGGAAATAATGTGGGTAAGGCTTTTGTGTTATGCTTGATTTGAGTGGACCCCTTGCCTAAGACCAGTGGGAGAGAAAATGTACCAATGGAACATGTCAGATTGCAGAAGATCTTGAAGGTTAACCTAAGTATCATATAAGTGCCATAGGAAGGCTTCTTAAGCCTGAGGATCATAATGAAAATAATATTTTAGGAAATGAATTGAAAAAGATCTTTCTTTCTGGCTGTGACTTTCCAGCTTGGAATAATTTACTTTGCAGTAGAAAAATAAAGAGATGTTCCTCTTTTTAATGAATCTAGGATATATAGCTTGCAGGATTTATCAAGTGACAGGGAATAGATGAAGAGGTGGAGAAGCAAAAGTGAATTAATAGAGGAGACAAGGAGAAAGAAAGGTAGAATTGGGCACCTGAGACCATCTTATGAGGTGGAGTATAAGAATGAAGTGCTTGTGCTTTTCCCACCTGGGAACGTACAACTATAGTCATTCTAAAGTAAGAAGATGGAAGAAAATAATAAGTATAATAATAAGTATAATAATAAGTTAGTGAAGCAGAAAATAGACATTTTATAGAAAAGATCATGTTAACCAAAATCACAGCTAATAAATATAAAAAT